CAGAGTTACAGACTGAAATTGAAACTGAAACTGGGAAACCGAAAAGACCAAGAAAACAGGGTTGCCAGGTGGGCCCGTCAATGTCAGCTGACCAATTAATAAATAATGCCATTCAGGAAGTAGCAAAGTCCATAGATTTTGGTTTTTATTGAGAGCAAAACTAGTTGTAGGGTATTTTATTTTTAGTCAGAAACTTGTAAAGCAGTGAAGAATTCATTTCCGACCCTATAAACCATATATATTCTTGATCAGCATCAAAAGCCGCTTCGATCTAGCCATGTTTGGGATGAAAAAAATGTTGAACATTTTTTTGATTTCTTGAAATTTTAAATTAAGTATGCAAAATTTTTAGCCTATTAAAAACTAACATAGAAAAGCTTTCCGAATTGAATTTGATGCATTTTTTGCTTAGTTATGATATTTTTTAATCTTGATTTGTACAAAAAAAATTATTAAATAAAAATATGGATAAATATCTAAACAATATTTTAATTTAATATTTATGATGGACTATAAATATAAATTTGGCTGCCCGAAGTTGGCTTTCTATTTTTATTTGTGTTTATTTTAATTGTAATAAATTTTTATTTTATGTGAACTTTTTTTCATTTCACTAAAGTTTGTTTACTTTCTTCAGTTAGGTTCGTACATATATTCCTTTGAGTTCATTCTGTTCACTGCCGTTTATTTAGTTTATTTCGGGTCTCAAAGTTAACTCTTATTATTTACTTCAGTTAATTTTATTCATAGTAGTTGATTTGCTTAATTTTACTATATTTAATTACGTTTTGTTGATTCAACTAAAATTCCAAACTTGTATATATTTCAACGTTATCTTTATATTCACTCCAAGTGAACTTTCAGGGCTTTTACCTTTGTAAAACATGATTTTGCCATTGAACAATGGACTTTATATTTCACTAATTGCTTTCGGCAATCGTCTAAACATTATTTAATTCATTTTAAACGCAAATATGCCATAATTTAATAGACCAACTCATTATGGGAGATGTGACAAAAAAAAAATCAAGACCCAACGATGCCAAAAGTGTCGACTGATAAGATAAGACAGCGATCCACACAGCAGCAGCAACAAACTGCGGCAATGGGAATGGGAATGGGAATGTGGCTTCTAAACTGATTGGGCAGGCAAATTAATTAATTGAACATTTAAATTGTTTTGTTTCGTTTCATTCTCATGAATATTTTTTCAAGGAATAGTCTCTCTGTGTGTGTGTGTTTGTTTGTTTGTTGTTGAAATCGGGGCGAAGATAACCCAAATGAAGTGCACATATAGTATGCACATACATCTGTGTCGAGTATATAAATATTTATTTGTTATGTGCCTCATCTGTCTGGCTTTATTTTTTATTTGACCCTCCCCTCCCCTCCCCACCACGACCGACATCTCATCTCCCATATACATATACCCCTCCCTAGAGATAACGAGCTCTCTAAGTGGCCTGTATACAGAGCACCGAGTGTAATCTTACTTATACAACGGTGCTACTTCCGAAAGTTGAACTTTTGAAACCTTATAAAACACAGTCTCTGAATACTAAAATTATAGAAATTATTGCTTCGGAATTGATTCTAGCTGCTTTATTGAAGTACTAATAATACACTCAAAAGTGGTATTGAAATTTAAATATTTAAAAAATTAAAGATAAGCCAAAAATCGCCCCTTATAATTTTTTTTAAAACTTGGTTATTGTTTTTAATAAATTTTGGCAAAAAATCGTATTTTAAAAATTCCATAATTAAGCAAAAAATGCATTAATTTTATTTCGAAAAGCAGCTTTGAATTAGTTTTTATAAGAATAACAAATCTGCTTACTAAATTTAATTTAATTATTTAGCTAGAATTTTATAGTATTAAAAAAATAAATAAATAAAACTTAAAAATTCCATAACTAAGCAAAAAATACATTAAATTCAATTCGGAAAGCGGATTTGTGTTTGTTTTTATACGTTTTACAAATCGGTATACTTAGTTTAAAATTTTTTGAATTTCATTTTTTAGCCGATTTTAGACAATTTTAATGATGTAACCCCTTATCAATTTTTGAGAAAAATTGAAAATTTTTTGTTTTCTCCGGACTTGTCTGGAAAAATTCTTCTGGTTATGCTGATCAAGAATATATATGGTTTATGGGGTCGGAAATAATTCCTTCATAAAGTTTCAAGCCTTTTTCTGAAATTATAATACCCTCACAGGATAAAAAAAAACACATTTTATATTAGTTTTAAGATTTATTTATTTTGTAATTTATTTATTTATTTAATTTATTTATTTTTACTTTATTTTTTATTTCCTCTTTATTTAATATTTTTTTATTTCTATTTTATTAAATATTTTTTAATTTAATTATAATTTTTTTATTTTGTTATTTTTTTATATTTTATGTGTTTCTTATTTTATTTGTTTTTTTTTTTTTTAAATTGTAATTATTATTTTTATTTGTTTTGTTTTTTAAAATAATTATTATTATTTTAGTTGTTCATTTTATTATAATTTTATTTACTTTTTTATTTATTTTATTGTCTTATTTATTTATTTTATAGTGTCTTATTTATTTATTTATTTCATTAATGTTTTTTTATTTTTTTTTTTTTTTTTTTTTTTATTTTATAAATTCATTTATTTATATATTTTTTTTATTATTTACCTGTTTAAATTGATTGTTTAATTTCAAATGGCTTGGCAACCCTGCTTCCTTCTTGTTTTTTCCCCTTGCCTTTGCGCATGCGCCACCTTCTCTGGCCATCTCGCTCGCACCCTCGTCGCTGCTCTGCCTCTGTTTCTTTATTTTTTTTTTCCTTTTTCTTTCCCACTCGCGTGTTGAGCAAGCCGCCAACTGGTTTTGTTTTTGTTGTCTGCGGTTTTGCGTGGTTTTGGGGAGTGGGCATTACGCGGGGGGAGGCTGGTGAAGTGGTTGATTACTTGGTGTGCGTGTGTGTGTGTGTGAGTGTCTGTTCCCCCCGAAGTCTTTTTCAGATTTTTGTTGGTTGTTTTTTTTTTTTTTTTTTTTATTTTCCCAACGAGCAGCTCCGGCTTTTTGTGTGTTGTTGTTGGCTTGAACTTGAGCTCTATACATATGTAATTGGTATATTGTTGTTGTTATTGTTATTGTTGTTGTTAGTTTTTGGCCACGCTCGATGGAGTGAGTTAAGAGAGTGTCTGCGTCTGCGTCTGTGTTTGTGTTAACTGGTTGCATAACATGTTACAGCATCGCACGAACAAAAAAAAAAAAGTGAACAAGCCAAGTATGTAAGTCGGACGTTGCGTTCCCAAAAAAAAAAAGAAAAGAAAGAAAAAAGGTTAAAAAAATCGGAAAAGAAACAAAACCGAACCCAGCGATGACGACATGGAAAATAAAAGGGGGCTTGCAGCCAAGCGGGATTAAATTATTGCTTAAATAGGGCCAAGATTGGGCCTAAATTAAGGTTAAAATGGGAATGAAGGGCGGGGGACTGGCTAAGAGCTTTAAATAGGGCTAAAATAGGGTTTACTTGGATCTTAAATGAGGCTTAAATAGATCCAAGAATAAGACTTGAATAGGGTCTAAAATGGGGTTGAAAAGGCTCTGGCTTAGAGCTTAAATAGGGCTAATTTGAAGCTAATATTAGAGCTTAATTTGTAGTTTAAATATAACCAAGATCTGGCCTAAATTGGGGATAAAATATACCCAAGATCTGGCCTAAATTGGGGCTAAGATATACCCAAGATTTGGCCTAAATTGGGGCTAAAATATACCCCAGATCTGGCCTAAATTGGGGCTAGACTAAGTTAAGAGAACTTAGAGCTTAAATAGTGTTTTAATATGGCTTACTTAGCTCATAAAATTGGTCTTAATTTGTCGCTTAAATATATACCCAAGATTTAGCCTAAATTGAGGCTAAAATAGGTATTACTTTGAACTTAAAATTGGGCTTAAATTGTAGCTTAAATAGAGCTAGGAATAGGGTTTAAATTATAGCCTAAATAGAGCTAAGAATAGAGTTTATTTGGGGGCTTTATAGGTCAAAGGGGGCCAAGTCACAATGAAAATATGTCAAAAATAATACGTAAATACCAGAAATAAAAATTTTTTAACCTTTTAGAATTTTAACCTAGATTGTTTTTGTTTGAAAAAATCTTCAGCAGAAACTAGGATTTTGTTAAAAAAAAGCGATAATCAACACTAAAAGATAAAGAAAATAGTAGACTTTCCATATTCTTAAATAGCCCAAAATATATATAAAATATATTTATATAAATAATAATAAAATATATATAAATATATAATATATATTTATTAATAAAATAATATATAAATATATAATTAAAATAAATAAAATAAATAATAAATAAAATAAATAATAAATAAAATAAATAATAAATAAAATAAATAGTAAATAAAATAAATAATAAATTAAATAAATAGTAAATAAAATAAATAACAAATAAAATAAAAATAAAGCAAAATAAACCAGAACTGGCTAAATCGATTCGCCTGATAAGGTTTAGGTCCAGGTTATGTCTCCACAGAATCTCTCCAAAAACCTTTAATGAAAACAAATGTGGTTTCTTCCAGAGCCTCTTGTCCTATTCCTTTCTTTGTTAGTCTGAGAAATAATAACATTTAAATAATCATAATAATAATAACAAAAAAAATCATTTTGCAATAAACCCAACTCGGTATCTTCTCTCTCTCTCCCTCTCTGCGTTGGGTTTTTCTGTATTTCTTTTTGTTTTCCACTTATAGGTCAAGTTAAAAGTAAAAGTACGCTCGGCTTGGCTTTGCCTTTTGCTTATACTTTGCCTTTTGCCTTTGCCTTTGTGTTTTATGCTTTTCCCCCCCTCCTTCACTTATTCCCTCCGTTTTTGGCTTTGTTTTGTTGTCTTTTTTTTTATGGTTTTGAATTTTTGCGAAATATATATTCGCCACGTTACGTATACGCCCGAGCGACCAAAAAATTGATTTTTGCATTTTTTCCGTCTTTCTTTGCATTCACAGGTGGCCAGCGATCGTGATCGCGAACATCTCCAGCAGCAACAGCAGCAGCAAGTGGAGCTTGTCCTGGACAGGAGCAACATGGAGCAGCAGCACCAGCAGCAGCATCGCCTGCATGGCGCCCTCACACGCACCATTTCACAGCCGGCCCAGCGCCAGCAACAGCAGCAGCTGATGCAGCAGCAACAGCCAGTGTCCAATCTGGTGACCATCATCGAGAATCTGGGCAACATGAACCTGCACCGCAAGCTAGAGCGCACACAGTCGGAGCCACTGCCGCAGCAGCCCATGAATACATCCAGGTAAGGCAGCTCTTTATACTCTTTTTATTGAAAAAAAACTTGACTTAAATATCCATTATTCCTGACAGATACAAGACGGAGCTATGCCGCCCCTTTGAGGAGGCCGGCGAGTGCAAGTACGGGGAGAAGTGCCAGTTTGCTCATGGCTACCATGAGCTGCGCAATCTGCAGCGTCATCCCAAGTACAAGACCGAGTACTGTCGCACCTTTCACAGTGTGGGCTTCTGCCCCTATGGGCCACGTTGCCATTTTGTTCACAATGCGGACGAGGCAAGGGCCCAGCAGGCAGCCCAGGCAGCCAAGTCGTCGTCGTCGTCGTCGTCATCGTCGTCGTCCTCGTCCTCGTCCCAGTCGCAGCAGCAGCAACAGTCACAGTCACAGTCGCAGTCGCAGATTTTCTCCTCAAAGAACAGTCAGAGCCAAGGTAACAGCAACATCAGTAGCAACAGCAGCAGCAGCAACAACAGCAGCAGCAGTCAGTTCTTCCTGCCGCTAAGCCCACCGCTAAGCATGAGCACCGGCTCTGATAGGGAATCACCCACTGGATCTCTGTCGATGAGCCCCGCCAATTCGCTGACCAGCTTCCCCTTCCACGAGGCCATGTCGCTGCAGCATCATCGCATGGCTCTGGCCCACGGCAATGGTGGTGGGGCTAGCAATAGTTCCGCCTCATCCACATCCTCGGCCTCGGGTCTGGGTCTGGGCATGGTCATGGGTCTGGGACAAAGCTTGGGACAAGCCACGCCCCCAGAGTCACCTAATGTGCCCATTTCGCCAGTGCATACACCGCCGCCATACGATGTGGAGGCCACCAACAACGGCAAGCAGTTGCTCCAGAAGAGCGTCAGCACACCGATGCAGCAGGAGGAGTCACAGACGCAGCCCAGGCTGCCGGTCTTTAATCGATTGAGCTCGGCGGTGGAGGTATTCCAGCATCAGTCCAATTTGGGGCTTTAAAGGAGCAACGAGAAGAACTCAAACATCCTTTTCCTTCCACAAAAACCCGCATCCCTCCATTGAGAAAAGAAAAGAAAAGCAAACCCACAAAGTTAGCAGCATCCTTTGACAACAACAAAATCTCAGCAAGAACGACAACAACGACAATGGACAACAACAACAACAACTGATGGGAAATGTAAGCAAAAACCCCAAAACTGGAACCCTGGAAGGCTGGAACTCTTGGCTTTTATGTAAATTCATCCAACGGAAGCTGGTAACTCCATATAAGTGTTTTTAAGCCGATTTTTCTCAAGCTGTGACAGTTTATAGCCGTCTATCGTTATTTATTTAAATGAAAGGACAACAACTGGGACGGAAAACAAGACGAGAAACGAACGGAAACGGAACTGAAACGGAAACAGAAACTGAAACAGAACTATTACAGAAACTGAAACGGAAACAGAACTGAAACAAACAGAAACTGAAACGGAAACAGAACTGAAACAAACAGTAACTGAAACGGAAACAGAAACTGATCTAAAACAGAAACGGAAACAGACACATAAATAGACGCAACAAAAGGACGAACGGAGATTAGATAGATGTTAGATACGTAAATGACAAAAACAAAACAAAACAAAAACAATCCATATGCAAACGATGATCTTAAACTATATATGTTAAAAAACAAACAAAAAAACAACAACAACAAACCCTTAAGCGATAAACGTAGCATTCTAAAACGGAACGAAGACAAAAACTAGTTGGAAATCCTTAGAGAAAATGATTTTAAAGCAATGATATAATAACGTTTTGCTCAAAAATTTATAAAAACTTGAAAAAAAAAACACTCAATCGTTCCTGCATTTATAAAGGTATCAGAGAAGCCCTTGTTCAATTTTTAACGATATATACACATATATATTTATAAAGATATATATATATGTGATTTTGGATTAGAGATTAGAGAGAATGTGTCTTCCAAGTCAAAGTTTTAAATCAATTCATTTGGACGGGCAGAGACCAAGGAAAATCCTTTTAATTTATTTACATTTTTTTTTTGCGCTAAATTTTATGTAATAGAGAGAGAGAGAGAGAGAGAGAGTTGCTGTACATATATTCTTGTATAAATTATATATATATATATTTAAACCATTTACCAATTACAATTGCAATGATCTTGGATGAATATTATATGATTATTGATGATATACCTCAGCCACAAATCACAACAACAATAACTAAACGAAACGACGAAAAAAAAGGAGACAAAATAACTAAACAAGACAAAAGCAAAGGAGTAAACGAAGAGAAGGTTAATTGAATTTGATGAATTATAATTTTTGTTTGCATTTCAAGAAGAAAATCGAATCAAGAAACGCCGATTCGACTCAACATAATTTATTTTTCCCCCCATATCTATTCTATATAATACTTTATATATGCCAATTAATGTTAATAATTTATGAAAAAAAAAAAAACACACACACAACGAACTCAGACACACACCCACACATATTTTGACCATTGATAATTTTATGTTTTTTATATATATATACAAATATTGGTATAACGCGACACACATACACACACACACACAGAAATTCATTTTGTTTATTTTATATATGCATTATAAATAATATATATATATATTTCTATATATATATATTATAATTATTATTATTATTATTTTGTATTTTTATTTAATTTATTTTACACAAAACCTCTTTTTGATTTCTTCTTACTTTTTTTATATTGGGTGCGCAGTTATATAATTTTTAGTGTTATTTTGAGAAAGAGGAAGCCCTTAATTTATATATATTTAAATATATATAATTAATTAATTATTGAAGTGTAAAAACTAAGTAAAAAACGAGAAACAAAAACAAAGCAAAAGGAAAACAAAAAAAAAATGATGTAAACCTATTTAAATTATTATTTACATAGGGAAAAGCGCAACGATTGTCAATCTTTGTTTACTTTTTTTGTGCGGGGAAAAAGCCCAAGAAAATGTAGTCTTACAATTGTAGAATTAATTTGAAAATATACACACACACTATAAACTATATATATATACATGTTAAATGCAAAGTGCAAATGCAAATGTAAATGCGCGCCAACCACTTAAGGGAAATTGTTTAAATTATGTTTGTATCTTTCCCATAAAAATTGAGACCTTTGCTTGTTCAAATAATTTATAAAGGTTGCTAAAAAAACAAAAACAAATCAAATCAAATCCGACTAAATCAAATATTTAACTACTGCTATTTATTACGTTTCACATATTTATGATCTATGATGCATCATGACTCTTGTTCAAACAAAACAAAAAGAAAAATACGAAAAAAAAAGAAAAGGAAAACTGAAACTGAGGAGGAGGTTCAATAATTCTCAAAGTGCCTTATCATTAATATATATATATATTTTATATAAATTATACACTATATTACACACAAATTATGTTTTAGAGTCTTGTGCAAATCAATGGAAAAAGGAAAACGAAACGAAAACAAAAGAGGAAAATGGAAGAAAGCGTAGAAAGAGATGCATATTCATTAATTTATTATTATTTGTAATTGAACAATCTATTTTTATATATATGATATACATATTTTACCTTCAATTTTCGATTCGATTCTACACTCGCCTCGTCCTACCCTCACTTGTTTTTTTTTTCTCGTACGAATCACAACAATTGATGCAGAGTGTTACGGCAGCGTGCAAAGGATTAATTACACTATTTAATGCTTACTATATATATATTTAAACATACTTTTTATGCATACTTTATATATATTTTACTGTTTTTTTTTCCCCAAACTTGAACTTAAATCGCTAGCTTTTGGTTATCATCAAAATGATTAATATATATATATTTTTTTGTGTGTAAACATGTTCTTCCCCCTTTGTACAACAAAAAGAAACGCAAAAGCAAAAACTACAACTAAAGCTAAAACTTGTAACCAAAAGTCAAGTCGTCTTCCTCCTAAAAATGCACAAAATGCAATGAAACTAAATGTGAACCGATATGATTGATCGATCGATAATTAAAACGAAATAAGAAAGAACAAGAATTGCAATTGCCAGTTGAATTATACACTATTTATACATATATACATATATATATATATTTATATAATAATAATAATACTTTGTTCGTTATTTATATAACCATATACACCATAATTTTCATAGATTTCCCCAACAAAACAAAACAAAACAACGAAAAAGACAACAAGTGAACACAACAACACAACTGTATATGAATTTTGTTAATGCTGAAAACATGCCTATATATTTATGCTTCCATTTTGCAACACTATTGTGCGTATTTTTATATAGTTAATTAAAGACGTGAAGTGAAAAACAATTTAGTTTATGGCGAATTTTAAGTTTAAATAGCAATTAGACAAAACAAACGTTACAAAATAAATGAAAGAAATAAACACAAGCCCACGTATTGTTATTATTATTCTTTTTTCAGCAGCAAGGTCTTTTGCGGGGGTTTCCGCGTGGTTTTGGGTAGGTATTTGGGTATTTTTAAGTTTTTACAGCAAGCCAATAGAGCAAATTAGCATCTCTGGCTGCATTACGATGCCATTTTCCCCTAATAATGCAAAATAGCTAGATGAGCATCACTGGCAGTTAGTGCGATGCAATTTTATTGAAAAATAGCTCATAACTCGGCCAAAAACGCATGAAATTCAATTCGGAAAGCTGTTCTGAGTTGCCCTTTCTAAGCTTAACAAAACTGCATACTCAGTTTTGCTAAAATACTTACCTATAATTTATAAAAAATATCAACAAAAAATTAGAAAAACCCTCATAACTCGGCCAAAAACGCATGAAATTCAATTCGGAAAACTGTTCTGAGTTGCCCTTTCTAAGCTTAACAAAACTGCATACTCAGTTTTGCTAAAATACTTACCTATAATTTATAAAAAATATCAACAAAAAATTAGAAAAACCCTCATAACTCGGCCAAAAATGCATGAAATTCAATTCGGAAAACTGTTTTGAGTTGCCTTTTCTATGCTTAACAAAACTGCATACTCAGTTTTGCTAAAATACTTATATATAAAAATGTGAACTTTACAACTCGGCCAAAAATGCACGAAATTTAAAACTTAGTATGCAGTTTTGTTAAGCTTAGAAAAGGCAACTCAGAACAGCTTTCCAAATTGAATTTCATGCATTTTTGGCCGAGTTATGAGGGTTTTTCATAAATTATAGGCATCTCACTAACTGCCAGTGATGCTCATCTAGCTATTTTGCTAAATAGCTCATAACTCGGCCAAAAACGCATGAAATTCAATTCGGAAAGCTGTTCTGAGTTGCCCTTTCTAAGCTTAACAAAACTGCATACTCAGTTTTGCTAAAATACTTACCTATAATTTATAAAAAATATCAACAAAAAATTAGAAAAACCCTCATAACTCGGCCAAAAACGCATGAAATTCAATTCGGAAAACTGTTCTGAGTTGCCCTTTCTAAGCTTAACAAAACTGCATACTCAGTTTTGCTAAAATACTTACCTATAATTTATAAAAAATATCAACAAAAAATTAGAAAAACCCTCATAACTCGGCCAAAAGCGCATGAAATTCAATTCGGAAAACTGTTTTGAGTTGCCCTTTCTAAGCTTAACAAAACTGCATACTCAGTTTTGCTAAAATACTTACCTATAAAAATGTGAACTTTACAACTCGGCCAAAAATGCACGAAATTCAAAACCTAGTATGCAGTTTTAAGCTTAGAAAAGGCAACTCAGAACAGTTTTCCAAATTGAATTTCATGCATTTTTGGCCGAGTTATGAGGGTTTTTCTAATTTTTTGTTGATATTTTTTATAAATTAATTATTTTAACTGCCAAATTTGAATTTGAATTTAACTGCCAAATTTGAATTTGAATTAAACGACGATCAGTGATGCTCATCTGCATCAGTGATGCTCATCTGGCTATATTTCAATATTGGGGGTGGCAAAAAATCGGGCCTTATGTCAGTGATGCTCATCTGGCTATATATTGCAATATTGGGAGGCATCAGTGATGCTCATGTGCATCAGTGATGCTCATCTAGCTATATATTGCAATATTGGGAGGCAATATATTGCAATATTGGAAGGCATCAGTGATGCTCATGTGCATCAGTGATGCTCATCTAGCTATATATTGCAATATTGGGAGGCAATATATTGCAATATTGGAAGGCATCAGTGATGCTCATCTGGCTATATATTGCAATATTGGGAGGCAATATATTGCAATATTGGAAGGCATCAGTGATGCTCATGTGCATCAGTGATGCTCATCTAGCTATATATTGCAATATTGGGAGGCAATATATTGCAATATTGGAAGGCATCAGTGATGCTCATCTGGCTATATATTGCAATATTGGGAGGCAATATATTGCAATATTGGAAGGCATCAGTGATGCTCATCTAGCTATATATTGCAATATTGGGAGGCAATATATTGCAATATTGGAAGGCATCAGTGATGCTCATCTGGCTATATATTGCAATATTGGAAGGCAATATATAGCCAGATGAGCATCACTGATGCACATGAGCATCACTGATGCACATGAGCATCACTGATGCCTTCCAATATTGCAATATATTGCCTACCAATATTGCAATATATAGCCAGATGAGCATCACTGATGCACATGAGCATCACTGATGCAGATGAGCATCACTGATGCAATTCCTAAAATTTGGCCGCTTCCCAAACTGGGGTAACAGGCGAACAGAAATCAGCAGCAAGCAACTGAAAACTGGTATAAACTGTTATAAAAAGTCCAAGTTTCGAACCATTTAGGAGCCGGCGCAAGTAAGCGGAGACTCAAACCTTTTGAATCCAAATAATAATTGGTATAAACTGTTATATTTCATTTTATGCATTTATACCTATTTGTTGCCGACAACAACAGCTTGATGGCAACAACAACCTTTTTACAACAACATCCCTAAAACAGCCCGTCCAAATTTCCAAAAATTTCCATGCAAATTGGCCGTTTCCCAAATTGGGGTAACAGGCGAACAGAAATCAGCAGCAAGCAACCAAAAACTGGTATAAACTGTTATAAAAAGCCCAAGTTTCGAACCATTTAGGAGCCGGCGCAATTAAGCGGAGACTCAAACCGTTTGAACGCAAATTTAGGTGTTATGTTACAACTGCACCTGGGCACACTGAAAACGATCGTCGTTATTTTTAAATTCAAATTTGTCAGTTAAATTCAAATTCAAATTTGGCAGTTAAATTATTTAAAAAAATTTTAAAAATTCTAAAAAAAATCGAAAAAAAATTTAAAAAATCGAAAAAAAATGTTTAAAATGCAGAAAAAAATTTTAAAGAATTCAGAAAAAAAAAATTCAAGAAATTCAGAAAAACATTTTTAAAAATGCAAAAAATTCACAAAAAAATCCTAAAAATTCTGAAAATAATTTAGAAAAATCCCCAACCCAGATAAAATAAAAAACAAAAACATTTTGTTATACATTTCTTTTGTTTTTATTTGGTTTTTTTTTTGTTGTATTTGTTTTTATTTGAATTTTGTTTTGTTTGCTTTTTAATATGTTGTATTTAATTTTATATTATTTTATTTATGTTTAAGCTTACAACTTAAGGCATAAGGTTACAACTAAAACTTAGGTGGTAAACATCATTTATCATCGTGCCCTATTTGCATACATATATACTCCACATAATAATATTGTTGTCTACCTTCTTTTGTTTCACTTACATATCGCTTTTTATCTCTCCATTCATATTCTTGTGTGTTTGCTATTACTTTTTTTTGTTTTCCACATATAACTATATCGATTTTGAATTGATACAACAGAGAAGGTATAAACAAAAAGGGCGAAAAAAAATCAACAAATAAAAGAATTTCTCCAATATTTAGTGAATTTGAATTGTTGTTTTGTATTGTTTTTGTTTTTTTTCAGTGTGTGTGATTTTGCTTAAATAATTTAGGGCACAGCTTGTGGTGCAAACACTTTTGTTTTTTATTGTTTTACATCCATTAATGCAGCCGGCTTTTTTTTTGTTTCTTATTTATTTTACTTTATTTTATTTTATTTATTTCTTTTTTTTTGTAATTTCGCCCAGCCATAAAATTCGGTTATTCATAGTTATTTATTTATATATTTTATGTGAAAGTGCTCTCTATTGAGGATCGGGGGGCTTGGTTGAGGGGTTTGGTGTTGGTGGTGGCGGCGGCGGCTTAGGCCGTTTCGTTGTTTATCCTCCAGTCGTTCATGGTCCTTTCCAGTCCGTCCCCCCCCTACCCCGTGTCCCCCCGCGGACCCCTTTTAGTTATTATGCCGCCCTGCCTGCCGCTTTACATACATTTGTTATCATATATATATATACTTGTTTGTAAAATTTTCTGTATATATATAGAATTTGTTTCATTTACTTTAATTATTTGTTGTAATTTGTTTAATTTCTATATATATATATATTTATATAAAAAAAAATACGCTTCCTGCTGCACTTAACTAAAACGTTCCAGCCAGCGAGTGGCATTTATCTTTACCTTTTGCGAAAATCTATATCATATTTATCAGTTATCGTTTATCGTTTATCGTTTATCTGCTGCTTCCGTTTAGCTTTAACATATATCCATTTGTTTGTTAATATTTTACAATGTTTTTTGTTATTTTTTTTGTTTGTTTTGTTTTGTTTTGAATAAGTCTTAGCGGTTTTTGTTGTTTACTGTATATATATATATATATAGATGTATATATTATTTTAGATTTTGCTTAGGTATTAAAAATATTAAATTTTGTTTGTTTGTTTATAAAAAAATAAGTTAAAAAAAAAACAAACGACACAAAAAAAAACACACGAATTAAACAGTAAAATAGCTAACACTAAACACTGCTCATTTTGTATAGTTTATAAGTGTTGTTGTTGTTGTATAAAAAAATATGCGTATGCTTGTATATATACTAAATACCACATATATATACTATATATATATATTGGGTGTGTATCATTTATATTTATATTATTTATTATTATGTTTACTTACAGCTTACATAATCCAAAATAGCATACAAAAAACTCGTATTTTGTTGCTTCATAAATTAAATTTAAAAAAAAATTAATAACGAAAGGGGGCAAAGTAGAGTTAAAAGTAAATAGTAGTAAATGGTAAATAGTAAATGGGTATCCGATACGATTGTTTATAAATGAATTTACAATTTATATGCTATATTTAATATATATATTTACTTAATTTGCTTTTGCTTTCGATTTTGTTTTAGTTTTTAGTTTTGTTTTCTTTTTTTTTTTCTAAGAACAGCCCAACAGTGTGTGTTTTTTTTTTATATATATTATTTCTTATGTTGCATGGTGTGTATTTTGTATATATATATATATATTGTGTGGTGTGTGATTTATCGTTAGTTTTTTGTATATCAACACTACCATTTCCAATAACTCAAGGAGGAGCCAGGTAGGAGCTAGAGTTAGAGCTGAGCTAGAGCTGGAAGGGTTTTTAAGGGAGTTCCTAGGACTAGGAGTAGGACAAGGACTTGGACTTAAACTTGGACTTCAACTTGGACATGAACTGGAACATATATAATTTACCGCTTTGCTGGCAATCAATCAAGGTTTATCGATTTTAAAACGATATACAAAAACAGGCTTTTAAACCTTGATTCTTTACTAGCTTTGAATTTTACTTTACTTTGAATTTTCTTAAGCTTTTTGGAATTTCCTTTGCATTTTCTTGCTGGAATTTTTTTTCTTTCAATTTTACTTTGAATTTGCTTTAGCTTGTTGCTTTGTTTTAATGTATTTATTGTTATTATTTATTATTTTTGAAGGTTTTTAAATGAAATAATAAATTAATAACATTTTTAAAAGATTTTTAAATAGAATTGCTTTTGAAAGTAAAAATTTAGACCGAAAAATGTAAAATTTGTAAGGAAACTTACACTTTTGAGCTTTCTTAAGCTCTCTTAAGTTCTCTTAAGCGTTCTTTTGCTTTCCTTCACTCTCTTTTGCTTTTCTTGACTCTCTTTTGCTTTTCTTGACTCTCTTTAGCTCTTTCTAGACTCCTAGCTGCTCCTCTCTTAATATCTATCCTCGTGTCTTGTCTTAATTAATATTTTTTTACATAATCTAGCAGACTTAGGCTTAGAGGCTCACCCGCAGAGGCTCAGTGTAGCTGCTGGTGTCAGTAGTAGCCCGGATTGCCGCTGCTCCCAGCATAATGCTCGCTGGCGGCGGCATAGTAGAGGCTCCTCTGCTGCTGCTGCTGCTGCTGGAGGTGATGCTGGTGCTGCTGTTGCTGGGACTGCAGTGGAGGCGGCGGCAGCACCGTTGATTGGTAATGTGGCTGGCGATGCGGCGACTGCTGCTGCTGTTGCTGCTGCTGCGTTGCTAGGTGCGTGTGTGACTGTCGCCGGTAGCCAGGATAACCGTAGCCTGTGCCGGTTGCTGCTGCTGCTGCTGTTGCTACTGCTATCGCTGCTGGCCGCAGATGCGACGCCGACGCCGACGACGACGCCGGCAGTCACAACTAATCCTCGTCGCTGAGTGCCTCGTACTTGGACGACAGCAAAGGCTTTGGTTCGCTGGCCGCCGCCGCTGCCGCTGCTGCTGCTGCTACTGCCTGTGCCTGTGCCGCCAAAGCAGCGGCTGCTGCCGATCCTATGGGTGGATGACCACCGCCTCCTCCGCCACCGCCACTGCCGCCTCCGGAACCACCTGCTCCTGATCCAGCACCTCCTGGGCCACCGCCTCCAACCACTAGGGATACACCACCTCCGTTGCCGCCGCCCACAGAGCCTGCTGCTCCTCCTCCTCCTCCGCCTCCTACTCCCACGCCGCCCAGCTCACTCAAAGCATGTGCTGCCTTGGTCTTGGCACTCAGGTGACCAGGAGGAGCCACTGCATGATGGCCACTGCTAGAAAGCTGACCACCACCTCCCAGTTGAAGTGACTGCGGCGGCGGCAAGCCTCCAGCGGCACTGGGCACCGTCAGAGCGCTGTAGGGAAAGGCATAGGTGCTGGGTGCATAGGATGCCGGCACGGGATGGAAGGGCGAGTGATGACTATTGGCACCCGCCGACACAGACACCGAGACGGAACCACTGCCGCCTGCCGAGCGCCGACCGCTGCCATCCACCACCTCGTACTGGTTGGGCGTCTTTCGGGACACACTAATCTCCGGCGGCGGTGGCTCCTTGTTGCTTCTGTGCTGCAGCTCCAGGGCGGCAGCATGGGCTGCATGGGCCGCATGCGCCACATGGGCGGCATGGACAGCGGCATGGGAGTGAGCAGCCACCAGATCGGCGGCCACCTCATCCTCGGAACGCACCTCCACAATGCGGTTCTTCACATAGCCAATATCGTCGCGCATTACCTCGGCAATGCGGTTTTTCACATAATTGTCTATGGTGGTGGCTCCACCGCCACTGCCAGGTGGTGCTCCTCCTCCAGCGCCACTTGCTCCTCCACTCCCGCCTCCTCCTGGTCCACCTCCTCCTCCGCCTCCTCCAGGTGGTCCTCCACTGGCTCCACGCTGATCTGGCGGCAGGGGCACTCCCACCCTTACTTGCGGCGGTCCTGGCAGAAAGTAGTGTCCTGGCTCACCACCTGCCGCTGCTGCAGCTCCCATCACCTGGTGTAGCATCAATTCATGGGCGTACTTACGAGGACTCACAGCCTGCGGCATGCGTATAATGTTGCGTCCATCTTCGCCAGGTGTGTTGGCCCGGCCACCGCCTCCTCCGCCACTGCTGGGACCACTGGGAGCTCCTCCTGAGCTTCCTCCTGAGCTGGAGTGATGCTGCTGGACATGATGCTGCTGCTGCTGTTGCTGTTGCTGCTGTTGCTGCTGCGAATGATGCTTGGCTTCTTCGGCCTTCTGTTGGAGGCGACGATTCTGCTTCCAGCGATCTGGCGGTAAAATGGGCTGCGCCTCCTGCAGGTAGGTCATAAAGGGAGGCGTGGGACGCAGGTGAGGATTCGAGCCATAGTCATTGGTGATTATCGAGTCGGTGAGCTCGCCAAAGGTGATGCTCTTGGTGTGCGTCTGCTGTGGGCTGGGCGCTGAGCCCGCCGCCGCTGCCTGCGAGGTGGGCGTCCTAAGCTGGCCATGCACAGACCGGGACTGCGAGGAGGTTGGCGGCGGTGCCTGCTGGTGTTGCTGCTGCTGCTGCTGCTGCACTACAGCTGCTGCCGCTGAAATCCTCTCTGAAATCCTCTCCGAAATCCTATCCTCTAGATCAATATTGATGACATTCGGTGATCCCGAAGAGGAGCTGGGTTTCCCATTGTTTTCCGCTGTCAGCAAGGAGACGGCACCACTTTCATGGGGCTGCTGCCGATGATCGCGAAGGTACTGCAACGGATGCATCACATTGGCTGGCGAGGAACGGGTGTTGCCAGAGCCAGAACCCGAATTGGAGCCACCTGAACCGGAGCCGCGTGGTGGCGGCGGTGGACCATGGCCAAAGGTGGGTCGAGGAAATTCACGTCCTGTGGTGCCAGTGGCATCATTGGTGCGACTAATCTCATGCTTGATGATGGCATCGATGAGGCTTTGGGCACTCAACTGGCCAGGGGCATCCTCCGGGGTGGGTCCACCATGGGCAGGACGATAGTAGCTGAAGGGAAAATCAAAATAAAATATAAATAAAATGAAAATTGATGTTTTTAAAGGCTTCAAACAAAATACTTACGCCTCTCGCTCTCGGTCTGGTATGGAGCGCGGCGGTCCTGTGTCTGGCACTGGTGCTCTGATGTAGTGTCCTGGCGGTGGTCCTCCTCCTGGTGCACCCACTGCTGTCACCACTCCTCCTCCGGCTGCAAACATACGCTCCATGCGCCTGCTATCACGCTCACGCTCCTCGGCCACCACTCGCCGCTCTCGATCCTGCTCGCGACGCTCACGCTCGCGCTCTCTCTCGCGCTCTCGTTCACGCTCTCTTTCGCGCTCTCTTTCGCGCTCTCTCTCCCGCTCGCGATCCCTCTCCCTCTCCCTTTCGCGCTGCAGCATCTCGCGATCTCTTTCCAGGGCATGATTATGCTGCTGCTGTTGATGCTGCTGCTGCTGGTGCTGCTGCTGCTGCGCCTGTTGCTGTTGATGCTGGTGATGCTGCTGCTGCTGATGCTGCTGCTGTCGCTGCTGATCTCTCTTGGCCTGATCCATGCGTCGCTGCAAATCCACCTGGGCGGCGGCATTCAGCTGCTGGCGGTACTGCTGATGCTGGTGCTGCGCCAGCTGCTGCTGATGCACCGCCACGGCGGCCATGTGCTGGTGATGTATAAGATCGCGATAGCGTAGATCATGATGGGCCACCGGTGGTGGTGGAGCCACATTAACGGCATGGGGTGGTGGTGGTGGCGGCACCGATGCTGGTGAGTTGGTTACCTGCTGTTGCTGCTGCTGTTGCTGGCCAGGATTAGCGCCTGGTGACTTGTCATCCTTTTGCGAGGGCACTGGCAATTGTGGCTGCTGGACGGCCACGTCCACAAAGGAGGCCAAGGCATCGTGGCCAGCTGGAAGGGGGAAACAGAAGAAGGAAAGGTTATGTTGGGAAGCTAAAGGTGGGTGGTGGAGGGGTGTATCCTTACCTGGAGCATATTGATACGGCGCCACAATGTGCATCCTGCTGGGCGGCGGTGCGGCTGGGGAAGGTGGCTTGGAGCCGGTGTTGTGACGCTGGATCACGCCCTGCCGCTGGGGTGGTGGTGTCCTATGGGGACTGGGAGTACTGGGAAAAGAAACAAAAATATAATAAAGTGAGATAAACTGATGCTGCTGCTTCTCTTCCTGCTCCTCCTACTATTCAATCTTCTCCTGCGTTTCCTCCTCATATTCCTGCTCCTTCTCTCCCTTACCTGTTAGCATGATCCGCTGGCGACGCTCGACTGGAATACTCCGGCCTTCCTCTTGGTGGCGGCTCCTTCTCTCCTCCGTAGACAAAGCCTCCTCCTGCACTGCCCACACTATTCCTTGGCGATGGCGACTCCTTGTCCGATCCACCACCGCCTCCTCCTCCGCTGGCACTGCTCCCACGCGACATGTTCCTCTGCTGCTGCTGTTGCTGCTGTTGTCCCTGCATCTGCTGCGATGTGATGTAGTCATGCATCACAATCTGGCGCGTGCTCAGCACAGGTGGTTCCACAACTCCGCCAAAGGGTGACCTGGCATAGGGTGAACCCACGGCCACACCATAACCCTGGGGCGGTGGGGCCTGCGGCGAAGATTGCTGCGGTGGCGGTGGCAACTGTTGTTGACCTCCACCAGCACCTGCTCCTCCTCCCTGCTGCTGGGCAGGACTATGACGCTGCTGCGAGGATTTGTAAAACTCGTAGGCTCGCTTGCTCTCCAAGTGATGCGGCGGCAGATGCAGCGGTGTTCCTTGAGTAATAGAACCATGCTTGCTTCCGCCACTTCCTCCAGGAGGACCTCCTGGCGGACCCGCCTCAGGTGTGGTCTGCCTCACCAAACCCTCAAACTTGGGACTCAGCAGCGAGGATGAGGACGAGCTTGAAGAGGCAGCGGCAGCGGCTGCTGCCACCGCTGCGGCGGCATGGACTATAATCTGCTGCTGGGCACTATTGGCCGGTGTTCCATGGGTTATGGAGCCACTCTTGACCAGGAGTTGCTGCTGCTGGGCGGCCACTGCGGCTGCTGCAGCTGCCGCTGCCTGCTGTTGCTGCTGCTGGGAGGGCGAGTGACCGTGTCCGGGATGCAAATGATGCGCCTGCTGGGGACTCAGCTTGGGTGGTGCCTTGGACACACCGCCGGATGCATTGCCTCTTCCCGAAGCCGGTTGCGCCGGCGGCGGTTGTCCTGGTCGAGGTGGCATCTGTCCCTGTCCGGAGATTGAAATGGGCAATGGCACTGGCACTGGCTGGACATAGAGTGCTCCGCCACCTGGGGCTCCTTTGAGCACGCCATGAGGCGGCTGGGCGTATAGATACGAGCTAGGAGCTGTCAGCGAGGGCACTGTTACGGTATCCCCTCGATACATGGCCGTGGAGCGCACTATGTGCTTCATGGACATGCTGGGTGGCGGCGGTCCATGATGACGTTCTGTGGAGGTTGAGGAACTGCCTCCTCCTCCTCCTCCGGCCGTGTGCGGTGAGTGTCCATCGCGTGGTGGCTTCTTGATGCTCAAATCCAAAGTTTGGGGCTCTGGTTCTGGCTGGAGCTGCACTTGCTGGGGATGCTGACCATGTTGCGGATGCCCTGGATGTCCTGGATGCGAGGATGGCGGCAGCGGTGGCGGCGGCTGTGCTATTCCACGTGGCGGATGAGCTGCGGGTACATTATAGATGATGGTCTCCGGGGGAGTGGGCGTAGAGTGACTGCTCTTGGTTCCACTGCCTCCTATTCCTACTCCTACTCCTCCTCCTGCTCCTCCCTGCTTCACCACTGGCGTTATGGTGGCCTTGTCCACCACATTGCTAGCCGAGGCTGCCGGATGACCCATTAATCCTGGCGGCAAACCCACATTAAAGCCAAGATGTGGACTAACCACCGACAAGGTGGCCAGGCTATCGCTGGTTCCATTGTTGTTAGAGCTGCTGGAAGGCGGCGGAGCCACTGCAGCGGTTCGGCTTTGTAGCTTCTGCACGGAGGAGGAGCCATGCGGCAGGCCTGAAGAGGCTTGTGAGGGGGGTTGAGGTGCTCCTCCTGGCTGCTGCTGCTGCTTGAGTATCCCTGACGAAGGCGACTGCTCCTGGCGATATTCCCTCACAATGGTCAGCTCCTTGCGTTCCAGATTGTTGGCCGCTTGAGGGGATTGACTTTGGCCGGGAGTAGACACCTGTTGCTGTGACTGTCCTTGGCCCTGGCCCTGATGATGCTGCTGTCCTTGTCCCTGGCCTTGACCCTGTCCCTGCTGCTGCTGCTGCTGTCCTCCCTTAGGCTGCGGTCCCTTGTGCTTCAAGGAACGCTCAATCACCGAGAACACGCAATCCTGGACATTGTTTACCGCCTCCCGACGCATGGCCATGGGTCCATTCAACGCCTGCTGCTGCTGTTGCTGCTGATTCGTGCCGGAAGCCACGCCTCCTGGTGGCTGCAGTCCACCCACATTGTTGTGACCATGACCATGGCTATGAAATAGCACCTTGGGACTCTGGCGATTGGCTGGCGAGTTTTCATTCTCCTCATCCGCCGTCTCGGTGGCGGAGGAGTCGTATTCCTCGCTGGTTTTTTGCTTTTTAGGCGCCTGTCCTGCAGCCGGAGGGAGCAGACGATCATTGTCATTGGTGGCTCCTGATCCTGCCGTGGTTTTGCCACTCATCCTGGTGGGCGTGATAATCAAAGGTGTGTCTCCCCGAGCGGATGAAGTCTTGGGCGGTGGTGGCTGCGGCTGAGAGAGCTGCTGCTGTGCTCCAGTTGCTACTGCCGACTGCTGCTGCTGCTGCTGCTGGTGTAGCTGGTGATGCTGCTGCAGGTGCTGCTTGATGGAGGTGAGCGACTTGTGACGCTGCAGATTCTCTGGACTCTCCACCGAGGCCGTGTCCGAGCCACCCGGTTCCCGTTCATCACACGAGGAGGTACTCACATCCGTCTCATCGCCGCCACTGCCGCTGCCCGCACCACCACTGGAGCCATCGGTGAGATTCAATTGGGGATCCAGCTTGCGACGGATGCGCATCAGGCAGGCGGAACAGCAGCGGGTGGCATGCGGCGGTATCTGGAACTCGGCCATCACCGGATCACGGACTTCGGGCGCCAGCTCAAAGAGACGGGAGGGAATGTTCCGCAGGCGTTGGGCCCGATCCTTGGGATTGGGGCACGTGGGCAGTGGACAGTTCGGGTAGCGACTGCGCACCGATTTGCATTGGCAGCTGTTGCAGACGCGAGCCCCCGCCGGTATTGTCTCGTCGGGAATTCCATACTGCTGGCCGCGACCCTTCTTCAGGGGGCGGGTGCGGGGACAGGCCTCCGCCTTGCACACAAAGCAGCTGGCCAGGCGATCTGCAAGGAAGGAAAAGAGAGCATGGGTTTATTTTTATGTTTTTACAAATATATTATTTTAGAAAATATTATTTTTCATGCAAAAAATCAAAGGCCAAAGGTCAATCACATCAATTACTATCACTAATTTTCTGGGTCCTTTACCCTAAATCTGGACTAGAAGCCCTTGGGAATTATAACCTTTGAAGTAGGAAATAAATATTATTTAAATATTTTTTTAACTATATTTTTTAAATATATTTTTTAACTATATTTTTTAAATATTTTTTTAACTATATTTTTTTTTAAATATTTTTTTTAAATATTTTTTTAACTATATTTTTTTTAAATCTTTTTTTTTTTTTTTTCACACTTTTCTTAAATCATTTTTCTTAATAATTTTTTTTTAATAATTATTTGTTAGTTGTTTTTATATATATATATTTTTTTTTAAATAATTTTTTTTAACTAATAAATTTTTTTTTTTTAATTTTTTAACATTTTAACAATTCTTTACAGTTTAAAAAATAACATTTGTTTTTAAATAGATTTTATAAAAATGTGAAAAATTAAGTCTTTATTTCGATTATATATATTTTATAAAAGATCATAAATTTTCCTAAAAATATACAATTTTTATGATAATTTTTGGGAAATGTAAAATGGGGTAATAATCATAACTCGGCTGAAAATGCATTAATTTCAAAACGGAAAGCTGTTCTGTGCTAATTTTTAATAGATTAAAAAATCTGTATACAAAATTTTAAATTTTAGGAAATAAAAAATTTTGTCAATTTTTTAAAATTTTAATGATGTAACCCCTTATCAAATTTTGAAAAAATTAAAAAAAAAAAAATTTCTTTAAAATATGGCTAGAATGATCCGCATTTTAATGCTGATCAAGAATATATATGATTTATAGGGTGGGAAATCACTCCTTTAGGAGAATCGGAATAAAATTAACCATTTTCTAACCATCTAAATATGAGTTGTTTTCTTTTTTTTTAATTTTATAAATATAAATATAGTATATATATATTTAAACATAATCCATAAACCCTGTAATTACAAATTGCTTCATCATCTTAATTCGCTTAACGCTGATTTTTTGCCACGACTGTAAGCACAAAAGTTATGCAAACACATTAAAAAATGCGATTTAATTAAAGCAACTGGTCAGGCAAAGGAGGCAAAAGGGGAGGGGGTGGTAAGGACGACGACAAGGACGAGAATGGGGATGAGACCGCTTTCATTAAGCCACTTAACAAATAATGAGCAGCAGCCAATTGAATATTTTAAAATGCTTTCCTACCCAGCAGCTCCCTTCTACTCTACAGAGAAAAGTACTGAAAGTCCTTGATAATGATTGCTGATGGTTGAGAACAAATAAATTGCAAGCTAAAGGATATTATTCTAAATATATTCTTTCTAATTAATATTATTAATATTATTTTTGATCCTGAATTAATCCTTTTTTCAAGAATATATCTATTATTCCATCAAGGAAGTATAGATTATTATTATACACCCAGAACAACCCTGACCAAGCGGGGAAAACCAACCACCAAAAACCAGGACTCTACTCTGTGTTTGTCTTAGTTTTTGTTGTTTTGCCACTTTAATAATTTTACAATTTTAATGATGTGCAAATAAAGTGAGCTGGCAAACAATTGCGGCATTTAACCAAAATCAATGTAATTAAAATGAAAACGAGGAGGCAAGTAAAGAGGAGGTGGTAGCCCCCATATTTTGCAAGTAAAATCAATCAAAAAGTTTTAAATGTCAGCGCGGGGAAGAACCTGCTTTTGCTTCTTGCTTTTGCTTTTTACTTCAGCTTTTTCCTACTTCTGCTGACCAAATAAAGAGCTCTTGTGCCTCGTCCTTCTTGCCTTTATAAATTTTATCCTCTTGCGAATCTCGGCGGAATATGAAAATACATCAAAGTAGCCTCGCTTTTCTCCATATTCCCATTTCCATTTTCATGTCCAAGCAGAAGCGGAAAAAAAAACGATGAGTAAAAATGCTTTTTGAGCGTTAAAATTTTAATAAGCCACTCATTTTAATTTTGATTGTTAAGCGGAGGGCGGGGGCCAGAGCAGCAGGTGGGTAAAAAAAACGAGACAGCTAAAGGCACACTCTCCTTTTTATTGCAGGCTAGGCTCACAGCTCAATCAAATTGCAATTATAGATTGCAAATTAAATAAAAATCACGAAAATAAATATTTAATATTAATAACAGGAATAATAACAATAAAAACAGTAACCAATAACCAGTTACCAGTAAAGAGATCAACAAATAGCGGCCAACCGATACAAAAAATGTTGTAAATCAAAATGAAAACACACGAAAACAAAAACGAAATGAGGATAAAGTCAATGATGGGACTAGGAGATACTTTGTAAACTTAGATATTTAAAAATATATTAATTTATTATATTTAAATATTTTATTTAAATATTTAAAATTTAAATTTAACAACAGAAATATAAATATTTAAATAAGTGTCATAAAAATTAAAAAAAAAATTAATAAATGTTTAGTATATTTAAATATTTATTGAAATATTTATTACAATTATTTTAAATATACAAAATATTTATTTAAATATTTTTAAAAATTATTTAAATGTTTATGGCAATTAATATATATTTAATCAATTTAATAAATTATTGACATATATTTAAAAATTATTCATAAATATTTACATATTTTATTTATAAAATTCTGTTGATTTATTTATGATAAATAAATAATTAAACTATTTTAAAATAAAATACAAAATAAAATAAACTGCACAGAATTATATTAAAATAAAAACTGTAATAAAATAAATCTTAAATGGGAAATGTTAAATGAATAAATGGAAAAACTCCAGGACATGCCCAGAGCACTTGGTATTCCAGGGGCAAGCACCAAATAAATTAATTAATAAAAGGGCCCGGAAAATGTGGGCTGAGTTGGGACGGAGGCGGGGCCAGGGGGCTAGGGGCAGAGTCAGTCGTCAATCACCAATGGGCTGCGGGGGGAAGGAGGTTCAGGTCGAGTGCCCGGGCGAACCTTGTTTTTTATTATTTAATTTTGATTTAAAAAATATATATATATCGTGTAAATATTTTATGCACTCCGGCCGATGGCAGGGCTTAAAAAAAAAAATACGAGTATGAACCACAGCAAAAAGTCAGACATTTTTATAATGTTTTAAAAATTAACTTGATTTGCAGAGAGATTTTTAAAACAAAAACAAAATATTAAAAAAAAAAACACAGTTTTATAATTTAATTTTGAATTCAAAATTTGAAATTTCCTGTTTAGTAATGAAATTATAGAGAAAAACTAAACACAGAATGCAGAACCTTTTCATTTTTAAATAAACAAAAAAAACGCATGAAATTGAAGTTCGGGTAGTCGAAGCTTGTATACTCTTCCATTTTGTACGATTAGATTAGGGTACCAAATAGAAAATCCCTCATAACTAAGCCAAAAAAGCATTAATTTAGGTTTGAAAAACTGTTCTGGGCTAGGTTTTTATAGCTTAAAAAATCTGCAAGCTACATTTTTATATGATCATTTTTGGGAAACTAAAAAAGATTATAACTCGTACAAAAAAGCATCAATTTCCAATCGGAAAACTGTTCTTTGTCTATTTTTATTAGGCTAAAAAATCTGTAAACTAAATTTTAAATTTTAGAAAATCAAAATTTTTACCAATTTTTGAAAATTTTAATGATGTAACCCCTTATAAAATTTTTCAAAAATTTTGAAATTTTTTTTCTTACAAAAAAAGACTTAAAAGACTCGCCTGTCAATGCTGATCAAGAATATATATGATTTATAGGGTCGGAAATGACTCCTTCATTAATTTTCAAGCTTCTGACTGATATGAATAATACCCTGTAATTTCCAAAATTCAATTATTTTCCAAACCCAACTTAAATTTTTGAATAAAAAGACTTGTAAAAATTATTTTTCAAGTGCTTTCCCTTCCTTTGGATTAAAACCTTGCTTTCCAAATCGAATTATTCAATTATAATTATTCGAAAACCACAAAATGGGGGACACAATGATCAAATGTCAAACACACACAATTGATGTCCTTTTCCTCACACACACACACACACACACACTTTCGTTCCGGACATTGACAGCTCAACAAAATCGACAAAATGAAGTCAAGTCGACTGTAATTAATGCATATTAATGGAAATTTGTGTTAATTAAATGTGACCTACAGCATATGAACTCTCAGTTCGATTTGTATAGCATACTTATGAGGGCCACAGGACACCGGAGAAACCTTTCCGCGCTGCAATTTCTGACTTTAAAGTAATTCAATCAAATAATAACAACAAATATATAAAAACAGAGGAAAAAAGAGAGCAAAACTGCGATATGAATTTCCGTTCATTGCGTTTTTTATTTCATTATACCCTTGCAGGGTATTATAATTTCAGTCAGAAGTTTGCAACGCAGTGAAGGAGACGTTTCCGACCCTATAAAGTATATATATTCTTGATCAGCATCAACAGCCGAGTCGATCTAGCCATGTCCGTCTGTCCGTCTGTCTGTCTGTCCGTCTGTCCGTCTGTCTGTCTGTCTGTCTGTCCGTCTGTCCGTCTGTCTGTCTGTCTGTTTCTACGCAAACTAGTCCCTCAGTTTTAAAGCTATCTGAATGAAACTTTGCATATAGTCTTCTATATGCTCTCACTGCTATATATGTCGGAACGGGCCGGATCGGACGACTATATCATATAGCTGCCATACAAATGTTTGATAAATTTTTAGAAAAAAAGTATAACTTGGCTGTTTTTCAATATTTTTGCATCATTTTTGAGATATAGCCATTTTATATTATTCCAGAATTTTGGTAAAAATTTTATGAAAATCGGACGACTATATGATATAGCTGCCATAGGAACGATCGAGAAATTAATAGAAATAAAATTATAGCTTCGTTGTTTTTCAACGCATTTTTATTTACTCTGAGATATACGTTTTTTTTATTATTCTAGAATTTTGGTAT